GGGACACGCTGTAAAGTGTAGTGACTGTGCGTTTTTGTGGGCCGAACGCGCCCGGCGACGTCCCCACACACAGCCGAGGGGGGGTGGGGGGTTGAGCGAAAACATTTTTTTTAAAAGGGGTTATTTTACCCCCGGAAAGCGATCCGCCAATCGACTGGGGTGTCTGTCTGTGTGGGGGTGTCTGGGTGTGTGGTGGGGGGGTGTGTCTGTGTGTGTGTCTGTGTCTCTGTGTTTGTGTGTGTGTGTCTGTGTGTGTCTGTGTATGTGTGTGTGTGAGCCTGTCTCTCCCCACCCCCCCCCCACCCCTCAAACGCTCCACCCTCCTGGGCGTGCGCGCCCGCGCTCGTGGGTGTGCGCGCGTGTGTGTCATCTCCAACATTTCGCCTTCCTGTGTGTGTGTGTGTCTGTGTGTGTGTGTGTGTGTGTACATGTGTGTGTGCGTGTGTGTCTCGCAGCCCCACCCCCCCCAACCCCCGTTTCTCTGTCTCTCTCTCTCTGTCTGTGAATTTAATCCTCTTTAAGGTGTGGATGTTGAAAGGAACTCGACTCCGCACAGGGACTTGACGCCAGGATTTGAGCGACGAGATGCAAATACGTCGCCTTTAAAAAAATAAACCCACATATTTACGCGGCTTTGTGTTGCCTTCTCTTTGCCGACGTCGGCCAACAATTACGCAGCGCCCGCCTTTCACGTCGGGAGGACGTCCCAAGGCGCTGGACCGGACAGTCAGGGGATTGGACCCGAGCTGGGGTTGGGCATCAGGATGGGGTTTGGAGAGCAGGGAGGACGTTTGGTGGGGGCGTTAGGCAGGGGGGTGACCGATTGGTCAAAGAGAAGGGTCTCGAGACGGGTCTTGAGGGAGGTGAGGGTGGGGCGGGTCAGGCGGGGGACATGGCGCAGACCGGAGCTGCTGAGCAGAGGGAGCGGACGGCTTCATGTGGCGTTAGCAGGTCGCAGAGGCAGGGAGAGGACAAGGCAGTGGAGGGCTTTTCGAAGGCGAGGATGAGGATTTTGAACTCTATGCTCCGGGGGAAGAGGGGGGGGGGCAGTGGAGTCAGGCGAGGGTGGGGGTGATGGGGGTCAGGGGAACCTGGTGGCAATGTTAACGCAGTCGCTGGTGGGCGCTCACACTGACAGGCCTTCCTGTCTGTAAGCCTGGCTCAGTTGATAGCCCTCCTACCCTGGGCGGGGTGGGGTGTATATATGGGGGGGGGGTATATATGAGGGGGGCATGTATATATATGTATATATATATGTGTGTGTGTTGGGGGAGCGTGTGAGTGTATATATACAGGAGTGGGGTATATATATATATATATATGTGTGTATTGGGGTGTGTATATATATATGAGTGGGGTATGTATATATATGTGTGTGAATGTACTGTGTGTATATGTCAGTGGGGCATATATATATGTGTGTGTGTGCATTGGGGGTGTGTGTGTATATATATGTGTGTATTTTGGGAGTGTGTGTGTATGTGTATTGTGTGTGCATATATATATATGAGTGGGGGATATATATATATGTGTGTGTGTGTATTGTGTGTGCACATATAAATATATATATGTAAGGGATACATGTATGTGTGTGTGTATGGCGTGTGTGTATATATATATGAGTGGTCATGTATGTATGTGTGTGTTGGGCGGTGAGAACTACAACTCCCAGAGTGCTTTGCGCCGCGCCGCCGGTCACGTGCCCGGGGTGTCGGTGGGGTCCTTCGCACGGCCAGTCGAAGCCACAAACAACAACAACAACAACAGCAGCAGCTGCGGCGGCGGCGGAAGAAGCCGAAGCCGAGAGCGAGCGGCCGAGGCCTCGCCGCTTCACGGTGAGGAGAGGAGGAGGAGCGGTTTCCCGGTGGCTCCCGGCGGGACAGAGGCAAAGCGGTTTTTTTTTAATCGGTTGGTTTTCGGTCACGTGGTCACGTCCAGGGCAGGTGCCCGCCGCGTCCGCCTGAATTTTTTTGGTGGTGGCGGTGGGGGGTGGAAATGAAGTAAAAATACGTTTCTTTCCCCCCCCCCCCTCCCACCCACCACACACTCTCTCTTCGTCGATTTAAAAAAACACAGGCGAGAGAGCGCGAGGGGCAGGAAAGGTTTAAAAGGGAACGTAAGGGAAAGGACAAGCGGGAAAGAGGAGGGGACAGGACTCTCCTCGGACACCTATCTTCGGGGCGGGTGGGGGCTGGTCCCGCCCCTTTGCCGCCCGCTGATTGGGCCGTCCCCGCGTCCTGGCGGCCCGGCGGCCCCTGATTGGCCGCCGCGGCTGCCACTCGGGCGTCCTCCGCCGCCAAGCCCACGCCCTCCGCCTGGCGGGTATAAAAGGGAACGCAAGCGCAGTGTGAGGGCACAGAGCGGAGCGGCGGCGGCAGGAGAGGCACCAGAGAGAGAGAGAGAGGGGGAGAGAGACAGGGACAGGACAGGGGGAAGGGAGTCAGGCACACAGACTGAGGGGAGGGGGAGACAGACAGACAGACAGACTGAGGGGAGGGGGAGACAGACAGACCAGGGGGAGGCACTTGAGGGGAGAGGGGGAGGCACTTGAGGGGAGAGGGGGAGGGGGAGGCACTTGAGGGGAGACGTAGACAGACTGAGGGGAGGGGTGACACAGACTGAGGGAGGGGAGAGAGAGGTGGGGGAGGGAGAGAGGCCGGGAGGGGGGGGAGAGTGAAGTGGGGTACACGACAGACGAGGGGCGAAAGACTGAGGGGGTCACGTCAGACGCGCCAGGGGTGGGGGAGAGACGAGACGGGGGGGTGGGGGGTTAGACAGGCGAGAGAGAGCCACAGGGTTTTTTTTTTGGGGGGTGGTGGGGGGGGGGGGAGAGAGTGGGGAAAGGGAGAGGAAGCGGAGTGAGAGGCGCAGGGGGAGTGAGTTTGGAGCACAGGAGGGTGTCGTGGGAGAGAGCAAAGAGGTGGGGGGGGGGTTGAGCTCAGGGTGGGGAGGGATATATATAGAGAGAGAGAGAAAAGAAGGGGTTGGGGGGGGGGCGAGACGGGTAGATTAATAACGGCCCCTCGAGAGAGACTGAAAGAGAGGAAGGGGGGGCGGTGAAAGTTTTCTTGACACCAATATTAATTAATTTTAATTACTTTAATACAATTAATACCCTGAGAAAGGGCCTATTTGAGGGAGTGGGGGGGGGGCAGGTTATATATATACTTTTTTAAAAAATTCTCCATCTCGCTTCGCTGTACCTCTTTATTTTTCTCCTCCCAACGCCCTCCCCTAACTTTTTAACCCCCTTTAAAACAGCCCCATTGCGGTGTAAAATTTCCCCCTTTTTTTTTTGGTGAGAGGTGGGGGGAGGAAGGAAAGAAGGAAGAAAGTAAGAAAGAAAGAAAGAAGAGATTAAAAACAAAAGCCTTGGTGGGGGGGCGGGGGGGTAAGTGTGTGTTTTTTGGGGGGAAGAGAGGGAGAGAAGGTGAG